CCTTGAGTTTTAGAAATATTTCTTTTACATAAGTGGGTGCTTTTATATTAGGGGCATAGATATTCAGGATTGAGATGTCATCCTGATGAATTGTTCCTGTTATGAGTATAAAGTGTCCATCTCGATCTCTTCTGATTGATTTTAGTTTGAAGTCAGTTTTGTTGGAAATTAGTATGGCCACACCTGCTTTTTTGTTAGGACCATTTGCTTGAAAGACCTTTTCCCAACCTTTTACTCTGAGTAGATGCCTGTCTTTGTGGTTGAGATGTGTTTCTTGCAAACAGCAGAATGTTGGATCCTGTTTTCGTATCCAATCCCTTAGCCTGTGCCTTTTTATAGGTGAATTGAGACCATTAATATTAAGTGATATTAGTGACCAGTGGTTGTTTACTCCGGTTATTCTTACTGTTTTCGGTAGTAGAGTTTGTGTGTGTCCCTTCTTTGAGTTGTACTGGTGAAGGTTCGCTAGATTCCTGAGTTATTGTAGTCAGTGTTGGCAATGTTGGATTCCTTGGGTTGCGATTTTCCTTCTATTACTTTCTGTAGCGCTGGATTTGTGGCTACGTATTGTTTAAATTTGTTCTTATCCTGGAATGTCTTGTTTTCTCCATTGATAGTGAATACTAGCTTGGCTGGGTATAGAAGTTTGGGTTTGCATCCATGGTCTCTTAGTTTTTGAAGAACCTCTATCCAGGACCTTCTGGCTTTCATGGTTTCCATAGAGAAGTCAGGTGTAAGTCTGATCGGTTTACCTTTATAAGTTACTTGGCCTTTTTCCTTTGCAGCTCTTAATATTCTTTCTTTAACCTGTATATTTTGTGTTTTGATTATTATATGGCGAGGGGATGCTTTTCTTTGATCCAGTCTGTTTGGTGTTCTGTATGCTTCTTGGATATTCAAAGGAATATCTTTCTTTATGTTGGGAAAGTTTTCTTCCATAATTTTGTTAAATATATTTTCTGGGCCTTTGAGCTGTAATTCTTCCCCTTCTTCTATTCCTATTATTCTCAGGTTTGGTCTTTTTATTGTGTCCCATATTTCCTGAATGTTTTGTGATGAGAATTTGTTGGCTTTGCTGTTTTCTTTGATCAGTGCGTTTATTTTCTCTATGGTGTCTTCAGAATCTGAGATTCTTTCTTCTATTTCTTGTATTCTATTGATTATGCTTGTTTCTGTAGGCTCTGCTCGTTGACCTAGATTTTCCGTATCCAGCTGGTCCCCAGTTTGTGCTTTCTTCCTTGCTTCCATTTCAGTTTTCAATTCTTGAACTGTTTCCATTACCTGTTTGTTCGTTTTTTCTTGGTTTCCCAGGGTCTCATGTACGTATTTACTCAATTCTTCAAACTTTTTGTTATACTTCTCATCCATTTCTATAAAGGTGTTTTTTACATATTGTTTAAGGGACTCTATTGCTTTCATAAAGTCGATTTTTTCCACTTCTTCTGTGTTAGGGTGCTCAAGACCTTCTGTTGTAAGATCATTGGGTTCTGGTGCTTTCATGTTGTTTTTCAGGTTATTGGGTGAATTTTTGCCTTGGCGCCTGCCCATCTCCTCTTATTGATGCTCTCTAATTGGTCTTTTAAAACCAGATCAGGTTTCCCTGCTGGAAGAGGCTCCTCTTGCAAAATGCCCTCGTTCTGTTTCCTGGCTTCTGCCAGGGGCCAAGATCCCTCTCACCCCTCAGACGGGTCTTCAGGAAAAGAACCAGGTTCCCTGTTTGCCAGGGACCTGGCCAACCAAAGGCCTACCTCTTTGATTTAATTGTCCTGGGGCGATCTGCTCTCAGTGTTGCGCTGGTCCCTGCCGCCTGCGTTGCCTGCCACTGTGTCAGTACTCGCCGGTCCGGCCCGCGCCAGCTGCGTCGCCCACCGTGCGTCGGTTCCGCCCGCCGCCGTCCGTGCCTCTGGTTTTATTTTTAATTGACCTATAATAACTGTTTATATTGATGGGGTATATGGTGATTAATGTGTGTGGTGTCAGCAATGGATCTCAAGACTTTACATTCACCAAACAAGTGCTCTAGCATTGAACTATACCCCCAGGCCCTAATATGATGTTGTGATACAGGCAGATATTATGTGCTAATCACCTCACAGGATATTTAGGATATGCATCTTTTTATACATTTCCTACCTACCCCAGCCTTCTTCTTCTCAACCTAATAAATGCATAAATTAACTTAGGTCAAGTATGGTAATAATTCAAAAACCCATTATCCCAGCTTGGAAAATGCCTCTCTGAGTAAAATTACTTGCTGCCTGAGCCTGACAACCTGAGTTCAATCCCTAAAGCTTGTATGAAGGTGGATGGAAAGAACAACCTTCATATAGTTGTCCTTCTACTCTAACTCTCTCTCTCTCTCTCTCTCTCTCTCTCTCTCTCTCTCTCTCTCTCTCTCTCACACACACACACACACACACACACACACACACACAAGTTAAAAGAACCATTATCCCCACTCTCTTCTAAATTCTGATTCATTTCATGGCTGTATATATGCCTAACACTTATCATTACTTTTTCAAGTTTTAAATATAGTCCTAAGCCTATTAGTGAATTTTCTATTGCTATAACAAAACACCTTAAGGTGAGTCCTAATAAAAGCAGAGACCTGGATAGCTCAGTTACAGAAACTGAAATTTCGGGGGCTGGAGGGATGGCTCAGAGGTTAAGAGCACTGACTGCTCTTCCAAAGGTCCTGAGTTCAATTCCCAGCAACCACATGGGGACTCCAAGCCATTTGTAGTGCGATTTGGGGCCCTCTTCTGGTGCTGCAAGCAGAATACTGTACACATAATAAATAAATAAACATTAAAAAAAAAGAAACTGAAATTTCAAGTCATGTGACTCCATTGATTCTGCTTGTGGCAAGAATCTTTTTGGCTGTGTCACAACATAACAGACAGCATCATGGCGGGAGTGAAAGAGTACATAAAGCAGGATATGCTATGGCTTCAGACACCATAGTGGCCAAAGCACAGACCCTTCCAGCCAAAACTATAAATCAGCAGGCTGAATTAATAGCTCTTACCATGCCTGTCAATTAGTAAAGGGACAATCCTTAAAGCTATATTACAGACTACCAGCCTCTGTTCTCAGAAGAATGAGACCTCATACACCTGTCAAGACTCAAGCCTAATCCTACTTTTTCTCCTCCTATTTCTTTCCACTCACCTCTATAGCTAACGGACTCTGTGGAGATTTGAGGTTCAGGAAGCATATATCCAGCAGTTCAACCAGACCACTCATGTAGTAGAGTCCCGAGACTGCTCACCAGTAGGTTGCCAAAAAAGAGATACTTATCCCTATAACACCAAAATGGATTGCTAGGACACCTGTCCCCAATGCTTGCTCTCTGAGATTAATGTCAATACAGGCCAGAAACCTATGGAGGCTGTACTTATTGGTCCTATAAGAGACATAATGCATATTCAGAAAAACACTCTGCTTTTATAAAGAACAGGAAATCTTTATACATCATAGTTAAGGATCCAGGGCAGCCCAGATTGAAAATGGGAGTCATTGGTAAGCATTTATCACATTCACCCAACAGATATACTCAAAATGCAGAGGGTACACATCCTACTCTCTCAACTCTTGTGTATATAGACACATTAGAAGAAGTGGTCCAAACCTCCTTGAAAATCCCTATATTCTTAATAACACTCTTTTTTGATGATATTGATCCCACTCCCCCATCACACTATCTCTTGGCTATTGAATAATGCTCTCAGACGACCTCTTTGGAAAATGCTGGTTGTGTGTCCCTCCACGGTCAAACTGGCAACCACCATGTGTGGCCTTGCCCATTGTTTTATTAAATTCTCGCGCCTTACTACTTGTTAATTGCTTAGAGTCAAATGTTGCTGCAGCCCCTTATCTCTCTCACATTCTTATCTTCAGTATCACAGACTGCTTTAACTCCTCAGGAACACACCCTGTGAGCACTCTGGATTCTGCAGACTTCAATAATATCATTACCCTTAGTACTGTCGCCCAACCCCTATGTCCAGACATTCACAATGCCTTGATTCTCTGTGGTACTCAAATTTATCAGTGCTTATGTGCTAGGTGGTCTGGGACTTGTGCCCTGGTGTTCCTACTTCCTAAACCAGGGATGGTACCTTGTGAAAAGCCCTTGCTTATTCCCACCACCAAGCTCATAGTGGCACAGCATAACAAATGAACAGTCCAGGTCATACCCTTTCTGGCAGCCCTGGGCATAACTGCAGATGTGGCCACTGGAACAGCAGGACTGACTACTTCCCTAGCTATTTACCATCAGCTTTCTTTGCAATTATCCAGGATTTCCAACAGGTAGCTCCATATCCTTCAGGCACAAATAGACTCGCTGGCCACCATAGTACTACAAAATTAGAAAGGATTAGATTTACTGATAGCAGAGAGAGGTGGTCTTTGTCTCTTTCTTGGGGAAGAATATTGTTTTTGTGTCAACCAGTCAAGTGTAGTGAAAGATAGGATCCAACAACTCCAAATGGATTTTTAAAAACAGAAAGAACCTGATACTTCTAGGCAGTGGATCACTGATAGTCAGGATACCTTTCCCTCCAGAGCCATAGGGATCCAGGATGCCTTCCCTTCACAGCTGTAGGTATAGCCTGACTTCCCCGCAGGCCAGGATACTTTTCCCTCCAGAACTGTAACACTTGCATTAGTAAGCAAAAGGAAAAGATAACATGTTAAGACAGGAAGCCAGGGAGATTTAAGGGTTAAACTTGTTTTTATTATAACAACCATTACAATAGAGCTAATTCTTCCTGGGAGAGCATTATACCTTTCTTAGGGAAGAGCACTAAGCATTTAATCCCCTCACACCAGGCCCATTCTTAACTGTTCTATCATCTTACACCATCATACTGGGGGCTAAGCATCCAGCATGTGAGACCTGCGATGGAAGGCCTATTCAAATGAGAGCCCATGCTCTAGAAAACACATGAAATGGTTTTGACTTCAGAATCTCGTCTTTTTGGTTGTCACAGCTGATGGGAAACGCCTAGCTTCAGTTGGAATAGATGACAGCCATACCATTGTCCTGTGGGACTGGAAGAAAGGGGAGAAACTTTCAGTGGCAAGGTAGGGAGAACCCTTACCATGCTGGTAAAACCCTAATGTTGCCATGTACTTCACTTTTTTGAAGTCAAGCTAGTATGTAAGATTTTTATGATTATCAGCTTTTATTACCTTTAAATAAATATAATCAAGCTAAAAGATAAATTATTTTATTATTTCTTTGTAGGTTTAACCCCTGTGTACCCATTTTTAATGTGCCTCAATAGGACATTGGAAATTACTATTTCAATTTGCAATAACAAAGAGTGTATTCTATTAAAGACTATTATATACCAACTGGGAAGCATGGTGAAATGCTCATACATTTTATTGAGAAATATGTACATATATCAAAAAAGAAATTATATGTTGTTTTTCTAGTATTTTTCTTCATTTCTGTCTTCTAAACTGAGCATGATTTGGTTTATAATCATAAATAGTGCTTTGAAGGGGAAGGTAGCTAACAGTGTTGGAGGTTACATTTTAAGTTTGTTACTCCCTCAAAGTGAGATGTGAAAATACCTAAAATATGAATACTTTTGCGGAGTATATAGATGAAATTCAAGGATACAGTAGTTGAAAGGAACTTTGAGGGGCTGGTAAGATGGCTCAGTGGGTAGAGGCTCTAAATGTAACCTCAGTTGATCACCAGGGCCTGTATGCTGGAAGGGGAGAAATGATCCCTGCAAGTTATCCTCTCACTTCTGACACATATATTGTATAATGAATACCCCTCTCTCCCCAAAACATGTACTAAAAGGAACATTGAAGGGGATGCTAAATTTTGATGAATTGCTGTTTTGAAATTTCTTTAATTCCAGTCGTAGACAGCATTCTCTGGGTACAGTACAGCGAGTCCCATGGGTACTATCTAAGTGAAGTTCTGTTTTCACTGTTATCCTGCCTGGAGAGTCTGCTGAGCAGGTTAATATACCTGGTGACAAATGTACAAGTGAATGATTTCACAGCCCGAATGTCAGAGACCAGCAGAAAACAACTGTCTAGAGGGTGGAGGATTCTAGCTAGGAAGTGAGTTGTCTTGAGATGGATTCTCTACAGAACTAAAACATTCTGGTTCATTTCAGAGGCAGTAAAGATAAGATTTTTGTTGTGAAGATGAACCCCTATGTGTCTGATAAACTAATTACAGCTGGGATTAAACACATGAAGTTTTGGCGTAGAGCAGGTAAGGAAATGATCCTTTTAACTCTTTTAGAATGCTAAAAACCATTACCTTTAAAATAATTTAGCTGAGTACAATTGGTGTGCTGGACTGGATCTTGGGATAGAGAAGGAAAGTTTTTAGAAAGCTAAAATCTGAATAAGGCCTGATGTTCAAATTAATGGCACTGTGTGAATGATGTTGGTTTCTTAGTCTTGACGAAGGGACAGTGATGTTAATATGTTAGTATTTAGGGAAACTGGATAACGGATTATGCAGAAACACTGTTATTTTACATCTTTCTGTAAATCCAACATTATCCAAGATAACCTCATAGGGAGGGGTCATAGGTTAGGGGTAGAATGCATTCCTAGCATTCCTCAGGCTCTGGTTGATCACCACCATCTAAAAGAAAACGTTTTATTTTTAAAGGATGCTCTTGTCTTGGTACATTTTAAACAAAGATGCTTTAACCTGTGGGATTAATCAGTTAATGTACAGATTTCTCCATTTTATAGTCTAAACTAAAATTTTAAAAATTTCGTAAAAGTGCCTTGTATGCTATAAGGTAATACAGAAATACTGGTGCTTTAGTCATTTGTAACTATAAATCACAAATTTGGAATAAACTTCCTTTTACCATTAAAAAAAACCTCTTTTCAAATAGAATAGTATATTTATGTTAGCAATGTGGCAATGAAATCTCAATGAACTGAAAACTTTCAGAGAAAATGCTTCAGTGTAAGAAGTGAAACATCAGAAAACAACAAACTTTGTGGTAACATTTCCCAAATTCACCTGTCTTCCAAGTTGTGAATTATATGGGATGTGAAGTAATGGTTCAGATTTGTATTGAATGCTGTGCCAGAGACTCAGTAAATCATAGTGTTTATAATTATGAAGTGGATAGAACTTAGGGTTTCATTCCCATAAATTTAAACAAGCTTTTCATTTGGCCATATTACTTGGAACTGAAAATGCCTACTGAGTAGTACTTGAGAAAACACACACATATACACACGCATGTTCACACCCCTCGTCTATATATTTGTTTGAAATAAGAGATTTAAAGAAAATAAATACTAAGCAGCTGGAGAGATGGCGCAGTGGTTGAGAGCACTTGCTACTACTTTTCCAAAGGACCCAAGTTTAAAACACCCACAAAACTGCTCACTGGTAGGGGATCCAGTGCCCTCTTCTGGACCTCTTGAGCACTGCATGTACGCAAAACACATGCACATAAAAAAATAACTTGTCACAGAGTCCCTTCAGTTATAAAAAAGAAAAAATAAAGTAAATACATATCCTAAAATTTGTAGTTGAGTAACATTTTTTTCCTAACCTATCTAATAGCCTTGGAACTGAGTCATAAGTGGATAAATGTTAAGGTTTGATGTGTATTTTCAATCTTCCATATTTTCAGAGGTCAGATCCACAGAGTTCATTAGACAAGTAAAAGTAATTCCTGTTTTCTTTAAGTATTATCTAACCCTTTGCTTGCATAGTTTTGGACAAATTATTAGTTGAAGTAAATGCCTTATGCATGGGGCTAAACTGGATTCTCATGCTATTTTATCTCAAGTTTATATTTATTTGAAACTGTATACATTTTGAAAGCAACACTTTCGCATTTTTTTATGAATCAGGGGGAGGATTAATTGGAAGAAAAGGCTACACAGGCTCTCTGGGGAAAAGTGACACAATGATGTGTGCGGTGTATGGATGGACTGAAGAGATGGCCTTTTCTGGAACATCCACAGGAGATGTGTGCATCTGGAGAGATGTCTTTCTTGTAAAAACAGTTAAAGCCCATGATGGGCCAGTGTTCAGTATGCATGCATTGGAGAAAGTAAGTAACCTAAAGTCATTTTAAGTTAAATACAGTTATCATAGAAGGAGCACTGGTTTGTACTTGGCTACCCAACTATAGTCTGTGTTTTTTCCTTTCTTTACAAATCCCTAAATATGATACGAGATAGGTATGCTGCATACAAACATTTTTAAAATGTCACGTAGTGGCACATGCTTGTAACCCAGGACTCAGAAAATAAATGGAGGAAGATCATAAGTTCAAAGTCATCTTTGGATGAATAACTAGTTCAAGGATAGCCTGAACTACATGAGACCCTGTCTAAAAATAAAAATAACAAACAAAAAGCTTTTGCTAGAAGTGGTGACTCATGACTGTCATCTCAGCACTCAGGAGGATTGGAAGTTTGAGGCTAGCCTGGACTATAAACAGAGACTTGTTTCAAAAAGAAAAAGAATGAATGAAAGAAAGGGCTGATGAGATGGATCAGCATGTGCAGCGTACTCACTGCACAAGCCTGACAACCTGAATTCAGCCCCTGGTACCCATGGTGGAAGGAGAGAGCCAACCTGTGTGTCCTCTGACCTACACAGAAAAGCTGTCACACAAATTTTTATTATGAAAGAAAGGAAAATGAAACCTTACTATATTAAGGCCCTGCTATGTGTCAACATTATGCTAAGTGCTCTCTGTATAATCAGATGCTATTCAGTACCGTTGCTGTTCTTTCTTTTCCAGGGTAAAGTAGGAGGCTTTGGAAGGATGTGTGAGTGCTGAAAGTGGCAGTCATAATTCATCACCCACTTTAGAAACCGGTCTTTTGGCATCCTGTCCTATCTTTATAGGTTCTGTGTTGATGTTTGGGAAATATAATAAATGCTTATACTAATCCCTGTTACTCAGAAGCTGTGACTTTCATCTACATTCTTTTCTCTATAGTTTTTTTCAATATAAAGCAGGTAATTGTTTTCGACAAACTTTGGTCTTTACTAACTGGGACTCTTTGTTTTTATAGGGATTTGTAACTGGAGGAAAAGACGGTGTAGTAGCCCTTTGGGATGATTCCTTTGAAAGATGTCTTAAGACCTATGCTATAAAAAGAGCTGATTTAGCCCCAGGATCTAAAGGTGATTTCATATTTAGTCTATCGTTCAGGAAAAGGCTAATTATTCATCATTATGCTCGTTCACTGAAGTGAAACACAGGAAATATATTTCCTTTCTTGATGAGCATCAGAATTGCATAGAAATCACTTAACTTGATACCAGAGTCATCCTGCTTCTTTCTCTGGTGTACTTGATGAAATATGAACTATGACACTTAACTATGACATTTAACTTTTGCATTTATCAGCATTCAGGAGCTTGCTGTCAGGCTGCATTTTGAGTTCAGACCCTGGAACCCATAGTGGGGAAGGAGAGACCTATGCTGATCTCCTCTCTAGCCGTGCAGGTCTTCCATTGTCTTTTGTTTGTGCATTTCTTCCTAGTAGGGATGATGCCACAGTCCCACCAATTATGAGGCCTTTCTGCAAGCTTTTAATTGTTCCTAGAGTCTGTTATTCTCTCAACGACAGAACCACATGCTCACTATTCAGATCTCAAACAGAATTTATTCTAAATGACTTCATCCTCATTTCCCTCTTCAGGAAGTTTAACTGCCTTCTTAAATTCTCCCTTTCTAATAACCTCCTCACACAAGATCTGTTGCAAGAACTAGATCTGCCACGCTTGCCAATACATTACTGAGGCCTGCCTAGGACACCCTGAGGGAAGGGATGTATCTTACACTGAATTAGAATTCCTGGTTTGGGGGCTGGAGAAATGGCTCAGTGGTTAAGAGCACTGACTGCTCTTCCAGAGGTCCTGAGTTCAATTCCCAGCAACCACATGGTGGCTCGCAGCCATCTATAATGAGACCCGGCGCCCCCTTCTGGCCTGCAGGCACACATGGAAGGAATGCTGTACACATAATAAATAAAATAAATCTTTTTAAAAAAAAACTTTAAAAAAAAAGAATTCCTGGTTTGGACTTTATAAATAACCTAAGAGAAATGGAAAAGAAGATGATTTGCTAATGTATGAGGCAAAGAAGTAGTTATCAGAATGGTAGTGTGGGATCTGGATAGAACAGAATTCTATGTGGTTATGCTTATTCTGAGATTAACAAATTGAATGACTAAAGGAAATAGAATTTCTTAAATATAAAAAACAACTTCATAATGTGATTTTTACCACCCAAATAGCATCAGTTGGAAAATATAAATTCTGGAATTAACTTCATACCTACAAGAACTTTTCTATTTAACATTTCAGGTCTGCTCTTGGAAGATAACCCATCTATACGTGCCATATCATTAGGACATGGTCATATTTTAGTTGGCACAAAGAATGGTGAAATATTAGAAGTGGATAAAAGTGGCCCAATAACACTTTTGGTCCAGGTACTTTAAATACTGATATGCACTTTTTCCTTTGAACTTTATGTTTTCATTCAGAATATGAGAAGCAAAATTGACACTGCAGAATACAATGCAAAATGAGTTAGGGAAACATTTCTTGATGTTGATATAAACAGAAAATTAGTTCAGTGACTAGACATAATTCAATAAATTGATATACATGTTCTCATGCAGAATTATTGCCAATATTTAGGTAAAACTTTATCACTATTAAATCAATGGGACAAAAGCTAGCTATAATATATTTGACATAGACGTTCATTTCATGTTTGATTTTACTTTTTTGGGAGCATTTGTTAAACATGAGATATTTATTTTTCTGAAACTCTTTGGTTAAGTATATCTTAAGCTATAGCTTACAGATGTGGAAAGGGAGAGTATGACTATATACTAAAACTGTATTACTGAAAGTATTTATCAGTGAAAAGAAGCTAGTGGAAATTCAGAAATAAACTTTTTTAAAAAAAAAAAAAAACTGTGGTTTGGAACTTGCTGTGTAGACCAGACCTGCCTCAGAATCTTGGAGATGGACTTGCCCCTGCTCCTGCTTCTGCCTCCTTTCTTAATACAGGCATATTTCTTTACCCCTCTACTTCATTCTTGTTAGGACACCAAAGAGTACACACAGAACACTGCTCATGCTTTATTTGGTGCTTTATTGTATCTTTGTTATAGTTGAGTTTTTTTGTTTTTGCTTTTGTTTTGTTTTGTTTTCGAGACAAGGTTTCTCTTTGTAACAGTGTAACAGTCCTTGCTATTTTGGAACTATCTGTTGTAGACCAGACTGGCCTCAAACTCACAGAGATCTGCCTGCCTCTGCCTCCTGAGTGCTGGGATTAACGGCGTGCGCCACCACAGCCTAGCTGGTGCTTTATTGTTAATACCCTGTGAATGAGATTGTGTAAAAGGCAAAACGTGTACGAATAATTTCACCTGCATAATATATCTTTGAAATAAAAACATACTGAAGTCATTGTGGGGTTACTGGTGTGTGTGTGTGTGTGTGATGGGCAAGAGTGTGTGTCTATGTAACTCTGATTGGCCTTGCGCTCATGATTTTCCCCCTTGGGTCATTCATAACATGCCTGGCTAGTCATAGTACTTCACCTGTTTATGAGAACTCAGATGTTATTACTAGAAAACTCTTAAATGCGAAAATAGGAGAATTACTTTTTAAATTTTCACAGAAAAAAAATAGAAATCATAAATGGTATCTATTGAGATAAAAAATTGTGTGGGGTGGGGAGCTGAGAAGAGTTGGAGAGGCGATAAACAAAATACATTGTTTATGTGCATGGCATTCTCAAGGAGTAAATGAAAATATGTAAAAGAGAGAGGAAATTTTAGATAAAACAAACTACCTAGGCTTATTTGTGTACGAAAGTATCCGTGCAGTGGACCACACTCAGAATCAGAAGGAATCCAGGGAGATGTGCCTCAGTATAGGAGCAAGCTCTTGGCAGCTCAGTGCAAAAGACAGAGATCCACTTGGTTAGAATCGTTAAACCTTAGCTTGGCATTATTGGCAGTTTGTGATTGTCAGATTCTCTGATTAGAGTCCACTGATGGCTTCTGTTTGGCAAAATATCTAGTTTCATATTAGTGTTTATGTTGGCTTTCAGGTTGCTTACATAGCACCGAAAGTGTGGATGCTGTCCTAATGGCCTCCTAAGTAAAATTGTTCTCAATACATCTTTTTGGAAAACGTGCTAGAAATTTAGGCCAGGGTCTCATGCATGCTGATTCATATTCTACCACTGAGTCACACCCCAAGCCATCTTATTATCTTATTATTATTATTATATTTATTATAAGGTAAAATTTTAATGTCTTTTTCACTTCCTTACATGGGGATTCCTGATAGCTTTGCCTTAGCTGTTATTATCTAAATGTGTGGGTAAAAGTTTAGTGAGTCCAGTGAAACTAATCAAGCAAAGGCTTAATTGTTGGAAATAAGAAAGGCAGGGCTGGAGAGATGGCGCAGAGGTTAAGAGCATTGCCTGCTCTTCCAAAGGTCCTGAGTTCAATTTCCAGCAACTACATGGTGGCTCACAACCATCTGTAATGGGGTCTGGTGCCCTTTTTGGCCTGCAGGCATACACACAGACAGAATATTGTATACATAATAAATAAATAAGTATATTAAAAAAGCAGTAACAACTGTGTACTTTGGATATTGAGTTAATAAATTAAAACTGAGAGAGCCTCTGTAATATGAGTTTAAAAATGAACATAAAGAAATTAGTTGTATTTCTTTATACTATCAATACAAATAAAATATTACAGAAAATACTATTCATAAAATAAAACTATACAATAAACAGTATTTTTTTTTACTATTTTTACATGTATTCATTGATTTGGAGGACAATGCACATGGCATGTGTGTGGAATCAGAGGACAACTTGGGGTATTAAGTTCTCATCTTCCACCATGGGGTCTAGGAATCAAAATCAGATTGTCAGGCTTGGGGATGTGTCTGATCCTTCCCACTGGTTATTCCAATAATTAGGAATTTTAGAGTTAAAATATGGAAGACCTGCTCTAAGAACTATTAAATTTTAATAAAGATATAAGGGATCTAAATAAATTATAAACTCTGTAATTATAATCCATACTTTGATAAAATTTTTTACATAATCTTCTCTTTAAAAAGTACCTAGAAAGGAAAATAAGAATAAGGAAGAACTTGTTGATACACGTTCCATGATAGAAATATAGAAAACACAAATTCATATTAACTAAAAATATGGGAACATGTATCCCTAACAGGATGTTAAGAGAGCAGTGTTTGTAGTAGTGCTGTCTGTTGGTCAGTCTGGTGATCTGTCATAATGGGAGCAAGTTCTCATGAACACGAAATAGCTCTTAAGTCACTAAGATCTCTAAATACTGTGAGATAGTTTCTATGGTTTTTATTGTATAGCCTTATTAAGCTTTTTCCTATTTTTTTGATGCTGTTTTAAACAGGATTTTCTTATCTTATTTTCAGATCATTCTTTGCTAGTGCATAGAGCAGTTGATTTTGTACACAACCTGTGAATGGAAACTTAGGTCCTATAGACTTGCTAATTTCGTTTATTAGTTATAATGTTGCAGTAGATTCTTTATAATTTTTTAGGTACAAGATCTTGTCATCAGTAAATAACTGATTCACTTCCTTGTGTCAGTTCTGGGTGGCTGTTACTTCTTTTTCTTGGCTAGTTGCCCTGGCTAAAACTTGTAACATGAGGGTCTGCTCTGTTGGGGTTTCTGTCCTGCCCAGTTCCCGCATTCAGTAAACTTCCCAAGGAAAATCACATAGAAGTCTCCATAAATTATTAACTGGTCCATTAGCGCAGGCTTTGTATTAGCTCTTTTATCTTATATTAGCCCATTATTCTAGTATATGTTAGCCACATGGCTCAGTACCTTTTTCGGTGGGGCAGGTCACATCCTGCTTTTTTGGTGTCTGGATAGGACTACAGAGGAATGGGCTTCCTCCTTTCTAGAATTCTCCTGTTCTTATTGCCCCTTCTCTACTTCCTGTCTTGTTGTCCCATCTATACTTCCTGCCTGGCTACTGGCCAGTCAGTGTTTATTTAAAACATAATTGACAGAATACAGAATTGTCCTGCATTGAAAACTTCCATTGTAACACTGAATATAAGCAATGAGAACAGACATTAATGCTTCTGTTCCTGGTCTAAGTAAAGCTTTACGCTATCAACCACTAAGTGTGATGTTCACTGAAGGAGACTCCTTCCCTTCCTCTGTTGTTTCTTTCCTCTCTCCCTCCACTTCCTCCCTCCCTACTTTTCTTTACTCCCTCCCTCTCTCCCTCCTTCCCTTACTCTCTTCTCTCCTTCCTTTCCTCCCTCTTTTCTTCCCCCTCCCTCTTTTCCTTCCTTGTTCTCTCCCTTCTTTCCTCCCTCCTTTCCTTCCTTTCTTATTTCGAGACATAGTTTTGTAGGTTATCCTGGCTTGTCAGGAACTCACTATGTAGAATAGGCTGGCCTTGAATATGCAGCTATCCTCTTGCCTCAGCTTTCTGAGTGATGATAAAATAGGCACGTAGGTTTTTCATAATGAAATTGTAGGTTTTTCACAAATGCTCTTTGCTAAGATTGGGGAATCATGATTTAATTTCTAATTTATTAAGTGGTGTAAATCATGGGCCAGGAGGGATTTGTCAGATTCTTTTTCAGTGTCTATTAGATGCTCATGGCGTTCTGATCTTCATTCTGTGACACGTATTACATCAATTGATTTGGAGGATTGACAGCCTTGCTTTCCTGGTTGCAGTGTATAATTGTTTTTAATAATTCTGTTTGTTAATATATTGTCGACGACTTTAGTAATCCTGGTTAGAAGAGTTATTGCTTTATATTTTTCTTATCTGGTTGTGGTATCAGGCTTTATAAAATGATTTGTGAATTAGTGCCTCATGGTTTAAGAAGAAAGCCAGAAAACAAAAACTCCTAATCTCTTCATAGAGAAACTGACTTTATAGCAGAACACAGAAAACAGTCCTCTCTAAATGTGCTCTCAAACAGTGGAGTTTCATAAACTCAGATGGTATGCTAATCAAAAACATAGACCAGTCAGTTTTCACAGAGGCAAAATCTCAGTCAGGCTCTGGAGTTGAGTATAAGGACAAGAGAAGGCTTCTGGGTCTTGCATACATATAGTGGAAAAAGAGACCGTGATCTCAGGTCTTCTTGAGTTCCAATGGGGCTTCTTTATTCTCAGTAGCACTCACTCGAAGTAGATGACATCTGGAACAGGGGCTGAGGGAAAAGGAGTTTCTACTTGTCAGCTGTGCACATCAAGCATCTGTCCTCCAACAGGCAGCTGGTTCAGGGTGGAGAAATCCATATGCTGCCTGTCCTGGGAAACTGACCCTCCAACCGGGAGTTGGGGACAAAGCTAGGTTTCTTGGTTATTAGAGTCTGAGTTGGTTTCCATGTGGATGAGCTGTGACCAGTGAAGAGGTACTGAAATCCAGTACATATGCCATCACTATATTGACCAAATTCTAACAGGTTTTCTTTAGTAAATTTTCCTTCATTTGTTCTAGTTCCTTGAAATCATGTCAGGGCTGTTCTGAATTTGGATCTCTTTATCCATTTCACTGGTGAGCTGGTCTGTGGAGTTCCTTATCTAATTCACGTATTTTCAGGTTACACTGAAATTAACTGTGTTTTCTTTATAGGGACACATGGAAGGAGAGGTGTGGGGTTTGGCCACACATCCTTATCTGCCCATCTGCGCTACTGTAAGTGATGATAAAACTTTAAGAATATGGGATCTCTCTCCTAGTCATTGTATGTTGGCAGTCCGGAAACTGAAAAAGGGTAAGAGGCTCTCAGACTTCAACAAAGATTAAGCTGTCACAATCTTCTGACATTCACAAATAGCCATAGAGTGTCTCTAGTAAAGGATTGTTGGATATTCCTTCATTTCCCTTGTGCTGAACTCATGACACTCCAAGGGCAGGGTGATTTTATTCAGTTTTTTTTTCTGTTGCTTAACTTCTCTTTAACAATGTTATTGCCCTCTCTGGTCCAGTAGTATGGTCTTAGTTTGATAGTTGACTCCGTTTTGAATTCTTGTAATTGCTTCTGGAGCTCCTGGTTAGATGACATTATTTGGGTTCTGCTGCTCTTTTGCTTTTCCTTACAGTTCTGTAGTTTAACAACACTGGGCATGTATCTGGGTTTACTTGGATTTATGCTTCCTAAGTTTGTGACCTTTTATTTTGTGTTAATGTTGAAAAATTGTCTGTCAATACTAATGGTTTTCACTAGGAGTATTGTAATTTTTAAAAAGCGTTATGAGAGAAAAGATACCATGCAACCGAGTTCACATGGAGGGTTATTATTATTATTATTATTGAAAAGGGAATGAAAAGAAGGGGAGGGGAGAGACCAGCCTTGGAAACAGGAGCGGCAGAAGAGAAAAGGAAGGTAGGGAGGGAGAGAGAAGGGGAGGGAGAGACAGAGAGGCAGAGAAGCAGAGAGAGAGAGAAAGGAACACACACAAACACATACAGAGGGAGAGAAGGAGGGAGGGAGGGGGAGAGAGAGAGAGAGAGAGAGAGAGAGAGAGAGAGAGAGAGAGAGAGAGAGAGAGAGAGAGAGAGAGAGAATAGGGGGTGGATACGGTTCACCTTTTAAAAGGGAACATAGTGAATGTGCACAGGAGATGCTCTTAGTGTCTTAGTGGCTGCAGCTGAGGATGTATCCTGTCAGGACCCCAAGGGCAGGCCAGTACAGATGCCTGAATACTCTCAAGGAATACTTCTTTGCATTAGGTTATAGGCAAAATTTATGATTCTGTGATTTTGGATTTAAATATTTTTACTTAGGTATCTTTATGTTATTCAGCATTAGTTCAAGATGGGGAGTTGATTTTCCTAATTTACAAAGGATGTGTGTGAACTTTCTTTTTTGAGACAAAATCTCACTATGTCAAAAAAAAAAATCTCACTATGTCTTCCTAGCTAGCCTCAAACTCTACAGATCAGGCTGGCCTCGAATTCAGAGATCCATCCACCTCTGTCTCCTGAGTGCTGGGATTAAGGGTGTGAGCCATAACACCTGGTGGTATTTGTGACAACTGCTTATGTTAATATAATAAGATTACTGATGTCACATAGAGTTAATTATGAGACAGTGATGGAAGTGGGCTCTCATAAGAAAAGTTTTTGACAAATGACTCAGTTTTATAGTAATCAGAGAATAAACAAAAGTATAGATACACAATATGTCCTAATGTTTACAGTCTTTAAAGTCTAAGAAATGAATGTATTGTGAATATTTACTAGCCTTTTGCACTTCTTTTTGTAATGATACATTGGAAAGCTCCCATTAACAGCTTTAGTGTGCTGTTGATCACCTGTAATCTCAGTAGAAATGGTATGACTTCAAGTTTCAGGCCAGCCGAGGCTGTACAATAAGACCCCATCTCAAAAACAAACAAAAAACAACAGTTCTTATATCCTGCAGTTGTAGTTTTTTAGTATAATCAATTATGGATTTTTATGGAATTTATGTTTCTGGATTCTTGCTATCATTCTATGTCTTTCTTCATTCCATGCCCCCCCATAGCCCCACATCTCTGTAGATCTCTAGTGATGAACCATCCCGGTCCAATGTTTAATCTGATAGCTCATTTTAAAAATTGTCATTTTTCTACGTCAAAACCAAGAATCATGGGTTTGCCCTAGTGGCGGTCTCTGAAAATAATTTCTCAGGCTACCAAGGGTATCAATATAGAGCTTTGTCTCTGTCTTGTTGTTAGAAACAAAATGGCATATAAAATAACAGGTTTAGAAATTGGGAGCAGTGTACACGAATAGGTGGCACAAATCTTTTCACATTCCCGCCACAGAAAAAAATGTCTTTTCAAGAGGAGCTAGAATGAAGCAGAGTTGCGTTTTACTAAGAGATTTCAGTGTGACTTTAAGCATGGGGCTTAAGATAGGGCAATTGGGAAGAAAGACACACCCAAGAGCATGTTTGTGGGCTTCTTGAAGAGAGGCACACTTCATTGTCTTTCCAATAGCTGTATATACCATTTAGGAGAATTTGAAGCTATTATGCACAAAGAGTTGCTAAGAAACTTCGTAATCATCTGGAGATTCCTGAAGGACAGGGCAGGTTTATAATCCATAAAGTAAACACTTAGGTCACAGGGATGTAGAAAGATAAAAGCAATAGTTCTGTTTGAGATTCTCAGAGGAATCTGGGAAAACAGTAAAACCTTATTTGTGGTCACATAGGTTTAGGGTTTAAACCTAGTTCATTGGTATTTTAACATTCTTATTTGAAAGTATTTATGAATAAAAGAAACCTTGTCTCTATGTTGAAAGCCTTTAGAGCAAATATGACCCATTGTGTTGGAATTTTTGATTCTTAGCTTGCAAGAGGCTTCAAGGGGATCATTTTCATTCTCATGATGCCATAATGTTCCCTGTTTTTGTATCCTGTTTCATACCTGTGTATCAGCTTGAGCCCATCCTCTCTTCTGGTTATAGAGGATGTTTTGTTCTGTCTATCTATCCCTCCTGCCTCAGCTCCTGAGTACTAAAGTTATACTGAGCCACCACATTCAGCAGAGAGTAAAGCTGAATTGGATCACATCCATGCCCTCTGTGCCATGTCATCTAGGGCTGCTGTACTGCTGTTGCAGAGCTGAACAGTTTTGATGGCTATTCTGTGAATAATAACATGAAACTCCTTTGTCCATCTTTGCTCTAGAGCAGTGGTTCTCAACCTTCCTGATGCTCTCACCTTTAATACAGATGTTGTGCTGACCCCTAACCATAAAATTGTTTTTGCTGCTACTTCATAATTACAATTTTGTTACTATTATGAATCATATTATAAATATCTTATATGCAGGATATCTGCTATGTGACTCATATGAAAGGGTCACTTGACCCCAAGGGGGTTGTGACCCACAGGTTGAGACCCACTGCTCTAGAGACTGCTATATTTTATCCACGCTATGAGTCTAGTGACAGACAACACAGGGTGGTTCTGACTTTTCTTCAGAAAGATGAGTGTTTACAAGCAGCTGCTCCAGGTCATATTTCTCAGATACAGAAAGAAGCAAACTATGTGTATTGGCAAGAGAGTCCTCAGAATTACGTAAAAGTTTGAGATCTCAGTCTTGTCAGAGTACAACCAAATGTTCACATTCAAAATTTCAGAGTACCCATTCAGTTTCCCAATTGTCACAAAAGAAATGTGGAGAGGCTGTGTAATTAAATTGACATTATAATTTACTCCCAAAGTTAAACTTGTGTTTAATTTTTATGGACCGTTGGGTGTCAGTAATTCTTTTAAACTTGTGGAAGCTTTAACGATTCTAACTTGTGCTGAACACTTCAGACCTGAGCTGGTTACTTTCTCTGTAAATGATTTATGCATTCAGAATCTCTTGTAATCATCGTTAGCACAGTATTTATAGGAGGAGCCACTTGGGCTCCCCAAGGCCTTAAGTATATAGTCATCACAGTCAGCAGCAGAACCTGGCTAATTGTGATGCTTGTCCGTGCTTCCAATTACTGACATTTCATTTCCTGTTGGCAGGGACTCAGACTGCTCAGCCCAAAGGTTATGAAGTGACAACTACTAAAAGACAGTTATTACTAAAAGACAGAAGAGAGGATGCTGGAGGGTATAAAAGGAGCAAGTAAAGAAGCAGATGTACCTGTAAGGGACAGTGGACAATGAAAAAGGAATGAACATAAAGGAAGTAGTGGCATCCTCAGGATGAAATTCAGATCTCTTTCAAGGAGAAGGCTTTTTTTCTGCCAGTGGTAAAGGAGTTTACCAGAAGTCTAGGAAAGTTTCTGCTCTAACATCACAGTCATCCACAGCCCCACCTCAATCCCTGTAAATCCATCTGCTGGACCCACTGCTCTAAAAGAAAGAAGCAAGGTCCCTTTCTTCAGTTTTGGCTTTGCAGTTTTCCTGTGGTATTGGGCCAGGGACTACATTAGTAGGGAAGGAATTATGCAATAATAAGAGTAGTGTATTGAATATGCGGTAAAGGTCAGCACACTGAGCAGTAAGTAGAAAACTGTCTGTAGTATACAGCTGTATGAACATGGCTGCAGTTTAAAGTCCTTGTGTGGTTGGGTTGAGCTGCTTTGTGTACAGTTTCCTGGCATGTAATTCATATCATGTAAAAGGAGGGCAGTCCATATTGGCTTCTATGCAGTGTTGGGGATCATATGCACCCCACTGTGCGTACAATTTCCAGTTATACAATTTCTGCCATGCAAGTAAGGGCTCTGCAAATCATAGTCATGTAAATAAGAGCAGTCCTGACCTCAAATTCAGTTCTTGTCCTAGTCTGGTTTCTGTTACTGTGATAAAGACCATGACCAAAAGCAACCTAGAGAGAAAGGGGTTTATTTCTGCTCACAGCTGAGTTCCGTCAGGAAGGATAGAACAGGACCTGAAGCAGGATCCATGGAGGAGTGCTGCTTTCCGATTCACTCCTTCTGGCTTCCTCGCCTGCTTTCTTCCACACCCACACAGTACCTGCTCAGGGCAACACTACCCACAGTGGGCTGGGCTGCACCCCTCACATCAATCGCCAGTCAAGAAAATGCCCCATGGCCAGTCTGATGGCAGTGTCTTCTCATTTGAGATGCCCTCTTCTCAGATGATTCCATCTTGTATCTAGTTGACAAACTAACCAACACAGTCCTGATCCAAGACTCAGGTCACAGGATAACAGGTTTCAGCTCTGTCACGTTAAGTAGCAGTTTGGGATTCCTGGACAACGCTTGTGGAACGTTCCCAAAGGAGATCCCTGCGCTATCTGCAGAGGCACTTCTTCTTTTTTTTTTTTTTTTTCTTTTTCTTTTTTTTTTTATTGAGAATAAGAAAAAAAAGTTTCCGCCTCCTCCCAGCCTCCCATTTCCC